GGAGACATTTTTAAACAACGTGTTGAATATTTTAAGGTCTTACAAAAAAAATCACAGAAGTATCGTTTTAATGTATTCAGTTTTCTCGGTTACATGCCTTAGTCACTCCGGATGTGTTGCTTCAATATTCAGTGACACTTAAAGGATACATTTAGATTTTTTTCCAAATTATATGAGGAGAATTAAGCCTTTTCTTCTGCTCTATTTGTAGCCTTTCCTGATAGATTTGAAACGGTTTCTTCATATTTTGCCGTTTGGGTTTCTGTGTCTAGGGCTTTATGTTGATCTGGGATTTATTTTTACCCCTTTATTCCTTTGCAAAGATATTTCTGAATGGCAATACGGAGTGAAATCAGATTATAATTCAGACTACGTCTTAATTGCCAGGCATGTGCTCCAAAAGCCATCCCTCGTGAGTTAATCAGACTCGAGAGCTAAGGAAAGTTTTCAACCACAGGGGTTAAAAGAGACAGAAAAGACGTGATAAATAAAAGGTTCCGTGTTTGTGTGGAGCAGGTTGTTACTGAATGTCAGTTTGCTTCTATTTATCGTTTGTGATTAGGAGTAATCACATCCGTGATAATTCGAGCAAGCCTGGGAAACCCTATAATATTATTGTGAATGCCTGAAATAACGGTTTTATTATTGCTACCAAATGAGCTATTTAGTGTTTGAACTATTCAGATATCTGGCTGTATTTTCAGCGAACTCGTCTGATTTGCCCGTACGGTAGAATGGAGACCTATTAGATATTCATTGGTGATATAACGTGTTTTTCAATATATATGTGTTAAGTAACAAAGGGCTAAGGCCAGGAACAACGTCCATGAAAGATAGACGCAATTACTTAATTTTATATTGACAGAAGCAAGTGTAGTTTGAAAGCAATCTTCCTAGTTTACTAAGGAAGATGAATTACTTTCAGTGAAATGTCCCTCGCTCCCTCTGCATTTTGCCTACTGTTTAATTGAATTAGTGAACCACTTTCAATTGAAAATATTATTTTCAAAGCTCCTGTATTTATTCTTCAAAAATTCAGAATAGAACCAACTGGGGAGGGCAAAAGATTAGCAAAACATCATATTTTCCTTCTAGTAAACTGAGTAAGAAAAGCTCAAGGTTTACTACGATCGCTGCATTTATTTGTGAATTTCTGTAGACCTGTTTATTTTTACTTACACAAACTAATCAGTCCAGCGGGGTTATCATTAATTGCCCGTCAGCACTGTATTTAAAACGGAAATATTTATGTCAAGACAACTCAGAATCTGACTTTCATTTGATGGACCGTATCTATATTTATATTACAGCAAACTAGCCAATTCATTTACCAGCATTTCAATAACCCGCCCTTTGTTCTGCTATAATGTGTGGTATATTACATTTTTATAATCGCACGAATAAATCAAATCAGTTGTCTTTCGTTTAGAATCACCATGTCGTTGCCTCAGACTAGAGATCAACAAATGTCGGTTGCAAAAGGCATTAGAAGTTGTCAGGATAAAGTTTTAGGTCTTTTTTTGTTTGTTTGGTTGGTTGGTTGGTTGGCTGGTTTTTGCAGGTATACTAGCAGGAAAAGCAGGAATGCCTCAGCTAGAAAACAAATCCAATTATTTCAGTGTAGCTTTATCTCGGGTTCAGAGAAGTAAGGCAGAATACCTAACCTGCTTCTATGGCTAGAATTAAGCCACTATTCAACCCGTGTGTTTTTCACCGAGCGGATTCAATTCATATTGGGACATTTTTTCAAAGTGTCAGTTGTGCAATGAGAAACCTGTTTCCGAACAGAATGGACGTTATCACTGTAAGGGACACAAACAAGCAAACACGGGGAAAGTGATTGCCCAGTTGGGAGAGACCGGGGCGCATTTAAACTTTGCTTGAATGCCATTTGCCACTAAAAAAAAAAAAAGTAACATTTCAAATGTAGATCCCAGATCAAGACAATTATATGTCTTTGTTCCATGTAAGCTCCCTTTGTAGGAGCTTCACAACATATTCTCCCGTTGTCCTGTAGATGTTGTGGAAGTTAATATTGATACTAGCAGAATTTCACATGTAATCTCACTTCTCCGCTTAAGTTTTCAGCAGCCCTCTCCCGATCCCTTCGCCCACTCCCGTCTAGCTGTAAAGGCGTCCAGGTTTATTTTAAAAATGCCTCTGCGAGTTGCAGTAAATTGCATTTGCTCGGAGCTACAAAGGGGGAAGTTAAGCATTTGTCTGCGCTGTTGTACAGGCAGGCCGTTGTTTTAATTAAAGGGTGGGGCTCCCTGATATAGACACCAGATAAAAGCAAAACGCACAGAATAAACTAATTAAAACATTGTGTTTGGAACACATTTTATTTCTTTTTTTGATCTGAGTTGTGTTTTAAAGAAATGTCAGCGCACTAGAAAGCAAGCCCGTGAAACCTTATTTCCTTTAGAGTGTGCGGCGCTTTTCAAAGGCGAGTGTGATATATTTTAGAAAAGAAATCCCGCTGTGAAAGCTTGCGTGTCTTCTCTTTACCAAACTAAGCTCTTGTCAATCACGCCAAGCCCTATCCAATCACCGAGCCCCTTTCTGGAGAGCAGCTCATCCCGCTGTGCTTTTATATATACACCGCAGCATGTTTAGATGCATTTTTACTATCACTTTAAGGGCTCTGAATGCTGAGGGCATAGTGACGGTACCGAGCTCCCCAAACGCTGGAGTTGCGAACAATTTGCCTGGCTATTGTGTGTGTCTTTCTCTCCCCTTTTCCTGGCTCACGTGGGCTGGGTTTGTTATGGACACTAAGTAGGCAAATATCGGGGGGAGGGGGGCTAATTAATTTTGGAGGTTCCCATCCACCTACCTAGCTCACACTATGACAGGCTGGTCGAGGTTCACTAGTTGCCCTACCCTGGGGATAGTTATACCGAGCGCAGCATGGCGCTGCCACCTTTGGTACTGGCGAATGGAGGGCACCCCACTGGCAAGTCCTTAAAACTCGGCTCCTCTCACAGTTTGCCAGTTCTGACACCGGGCTCGGTGTATGGCTGGAGAGCCCCAGTGTCTCCCCTCTCCGCTCTGCCTCTCACACCAGCTGGGACAGCTCGCTCATAAGCAGAGATTCCCCCAGGACCCACCATGCCCGGAGCTGCAGAGGAGAATTCCTCCAGAATCTCTTACCAGGGCCTGTTCCGGATGTATCTAGACTCACCCAACCACAGGGGACGTGAAAACCAGGGTTTGCCAAAGCAGGCAGCTAGCACCCGAAACTCTAAGGAGCAGGGGGCACGAAGGCTGGCAAGGGATCTGAGACCCAGGTCCCACCATTGCAGCCCAGTAACTGGAGCTCAGGCGAAGCTGCCCTTTGCCTCTTCGATTCTAGAAGGGTATCCAGCGATGAACCGGGCAATCCATGGAGAGAGCGACGCTTGTCTCCCTTACCCTGGACGGCCCATGCCACAAGAACTGATCTGCAAGTGGACTGACAGCAAAGGACACCACTCCAGGCAGGCTTGCTCCAGAATATTCAGCACCATGTATGAGCTAGTTCACCATGTCACCATGGAGCACGTCGGAGGACCCGAGCAGACCAACCATATTTGTGACTGGGAGGGCTGCGCTAGGGAGAAAAAACCCTTTAAAGCCAAATACAAACTCATAAACCACATCAGAGTGCACACAGGGGAAAGGCCGTTTCTGTGCCCGTTTCCTGGGTGTGAGAAAGTGTTTGCAAGAGCTGAAAACCTGAAGATACATAAAAGAATCCACACAGGTTAGTTAGACTGCAAGTAGCAAGTAGCAATAGTAGTAAGTAGATTTTTGGGGTGGGGGGTGAAGGGAATCATTTGCTTCCTGAACTTGGAAGGGTTGAAATAGCAATAAAAACCAATCAGAATAAAATACAAATAAATAATACTTAGTATTAATTTTCCTTTCATTTTAATGGAAAAGCCCCCAGAGCGGTTGCATGTGCTATGTATGTTTACCTCTATTTTATAACTGGGGAAATATTTTTGCTGTATTTCTGGCTCATAATTGAAACCAAGGGACAATTGTTTTTACTAACATTTCCCCTCCCCTCCGCCTCAAACTCTGTGTTTACAGGCTACTGCCCCAAGGTAAACCCCCAACCCACCCACCCACACTTAATACTTCTTCAGTCAATAATACACGAATATTGTCTGAAGGCAACAAGCACCCCTCCCCTTTCCACACTCCAGTTTCAGTGACAATATCTTCCCCATGAACCTTACAGCGCTTGACAAAATGAGTCTTCTTTCATGTGATTATGTCATAGTAAACAAAAAGGGAAGTCATTTTTCTGTTAGAAGGAAGAAATAGAACTAGCAGTGAAAGAAATGTCTCAACAGCGTCTGCTTTCCTCCAAGTTTTCCTGTAAAAATATACCTAACGTGCCCAAATTTTGCCCCAGCTTTTTGTCTAATTAGATTTCAGTGTCCCTCGTTTTTAAGACCCCCTTCAAGTCTACTCCCCCACCCCCAAACACGGCCCTGTGCCCACGATTTTTTATTAAGATCTCTACCTAACCAAAAGAAAAATGCGAGGAAACGCTGTGCGGAAAGGATAACATGCTACCGAGGATTATTTGCATTAGATCCCAGTTTGGACAAATCGAAATGTTAAACAAATATTTAAAAAACAAGAATTTTAGAGGCATGCTGGGAAATTCTCTCTCTGTCTGACTGCATCTATCTATCCACCCAGACAAAGCCAGCAAATTCTGACACCAGAGAAATGAGTAAACATATGTTATGCTTCCTCTGAAGGCAGAGCGAGGACTTGCATTGGGGTAGTGATTTCAGGCGCTTTATTAATAATGATGATGATCGCCCAAACCTGAAGGATTCTAGGTATTATTTTATTTATTTATTTATTTGCGCCATCATTTAAGACATACGTTGTGATGGCTGATCTGCTAGCGACCTGCACCCCCCAGCCTGCAGATCACACTGAAATGGTGGGTAGCTGAAAGGTGTCACTGAAAAAGATAAAGTTACTGGTTCTGAAAACAGTAGGTTCTTTTGCTCCTGGAAATGACGCGTTGCCTAGCGCGGACACGTCCTTGTGCCCCGTCCACACGCGATCGCTCCGGTCCCGGCTTCGGGTGAGCATGTGGGTTTCTGTTCTAGGGGAGAAGCCGTTCGTGTGTGAATTCGCTGGGTGTGACAGGAGGTTTGCCAACAGCAGTGACAGGAAGAAGCACACCCACGTGCACTCGAGCGACAAGCCGTATCGCTGCAAAGTCAAAGGGTGCGAGAAATCCTACACCCACCCCAGCTCCCTGCGCAAGCACCTGAAAACGCACCGCAACCTCGAGCCAGCCCTCTCCACCGCCACCACCAAGCCCACGGGGGCGCAGGAGCCGGGGGCTGGCGCCTGCCACTCATTGGCCCGCCTTGCCGCTTGTCTAGCCAGGTGTGGCCCCTCCAGGTGCCAGGGCAGAGAGAGGGACACTCCGGAGACGGAAAGCGGGGGCGCCCCCCACGCAACCTCCCGCAGTGGGCGTGAGGCCAGACGGACGCCTCTGCCGGCTCGCCCCCAGCTCTGGCGCAAGGTGCCCTCCGAGGGCTCCCGCAGGTCTCCCAGCCCACTCACACTCCCGGCCGGGCTCGGAAAGGGCTGGGAGCCAGGGCACAGCAGGGCCACGGGCGCTGCCCACAGCAGGCCCGAAAGAAACGCTCCCCCTTCCAGGAGAGGGCTCAGTGAGCTCTGACGGGTCACTTCCCCGGGGCCAAAGGGAGCCTTCTTCCCCCTGCCCGCGCCAAGCGCTGGGGAACTGCAGTTCCCTCTGGGAACTGGATCGTCCACGCCCACGTATGGTGGGTGGGAAACGCCTGCAACCTCCTTCGGACCTGGGGGTAGCAGCCAAAGGGACTCCCGAATGCTGGCCTAGGAATCCAAGCCCGGCTGGTCTCTGCTAAGATCAGCTCATTTCCCCACCGGGACGGCAACAACTGGAAATACATCGGTCATCCGCGTCATGAACCCGAACCTGCGTCTTTGGCAAGTGCTTCGCTAAAGGCCCGTCTCTCTCCCTCACACTCGTGTTACTCAGCACACGTGTGTTCTGTGCTTACAGACGCTCAGCTAAGCTTGGGTCCTATCCGCCAGCCAGGAAACCGGCCCGCACCGATTTCAATCCTCTGTGTGCCAAACGGTTTCTTTCTGTGGAGAACACGTCTTCTTGGCTCTCACTGGCACGTTCTAGGCGAGCGAGGGTTTAGCCTGTCACAGTTACATTTGCAGCCTCATAGAGACGTGGCAGAAATAGGGTTGTAATTGTAAGCCTGTGCTTAGAGATAGAGCTTTACAGCGCTACAAGAGTGATTTGTTGTTTTACTGTTTAGCATTAATGTTCGTTGGTTTATTGTGTCCGTTTCCTTGCTCTGCTCTGTTTATGTTCGAGATGTGCGAGTTTTGTATCGATGTTTGCCACACGATTTGAAATAAATCACCGAATGTGCTCCAGACTCGGGCACGTCTGGTCGCAGGGAGAGGTAGTGTTGCCAGTTATTGGTTGGGAATTCTCTAGATTACAGTCAACGAACTGATTCTGTGAGCTGGGCTGGCCAGTAGAGACCCAGATCTGTGGATTCTGCTTTCCGTGGATGGAGTCCAATGATCCAAGTCTAGCTTGTGATGTTGTCAGCATCTAGACAACGACAGCTCATTCTTTGACTGAAGTCGCTTCGTTGTAATTACTAACATAAGAACACAAGAACGGCCATACTGGGTCAGACCAAAGGTCCATCCAGCCCGGTCAGTATCCTGTCTGCAGACAGTGGCCAATGCCAGGTGTCCCAGAGGGAGTGAACCTAACAGGTAATGATCAAGTGATCTCTCTCCTGCTATCCATCTCCACCCTCTGACAAACAGAGGCTAGGGACACCATTCCTTACCCGTCCTGGCTAATAGCCATTAATGGACTTAACCTCCATGAATTTATCCAGTTCTCTTTTAAACGCTGTTATAGTCCTAGCCTTCACAACCTCCTCAGGCAAGGAGTTCCACAAGTTGACTGTGGTTTGTGTGAAACAGAACTTCCTTTTATCTGTTTTAAACCTGGTGCCCATTAATTTCCTTTGGTGGCCCTTAGTTCTTATATTATGAGTAAATAACTTTTCCTTATTCACTTTCTCCACACCACTCATGATTTTATAGACCTCTATCATATCTCCCTCCCCTTAGTCT